TCTCTGTCCTCTTCCTTCCAATCCTCACTCTTTGTACGTTTGTATCCCTTCTTAATTTTCCTTTATGTTTGCTAATAGTTTACATATTTATTATGAACATTAATATTCTTGGCTATTCAGTGACATTGTATGAAGTGCTGATGCCTTTTCAGTTGCCGCATGAGCACAGTCGGGGCAGTTCATTCAGTACAGTGACTAAGCTACTGTTTGATTCCAACAGAAAAATAATTTTATCTTCTCTAGAGCGTCCAGATTGGTTCTGGCCCTTTCGACAACCAGTGGATACTGAGCGCTCTTTCCAAGAATGATGAAGCCGATCACTCACCTTCATGTAGTGCCGAAATTAACAATGTGTGGATCTATACCTCCACTCCCCACTCGTCTTCAAGGCGTGGTGCTCTCACTAACCATAGGAACTTCACCGTTACCTTTACCGTATATTGCGTTGAACAGGAGGGCCTTACTTTGTGTCTTTGACCAGACCCCGAGAATGCCTGTATACAAATAACACGTGACCCCATTACCGTATTCCCGTTCAGCTCTCGAATATTTATTTCCATGCGGCCAGCATCTAATATTTTCCTCTCAGATCTCGGCTGTTTAATTTCCGCGAAGTGAAGTGGCGTATTTTAAATATAAGTGTAATTTGTGGATGTTCTTAAAGGTCAAATAACAGAACTGTAAAGACACCTCAGGCCGGTCACGGTAGCCGAGCGGTCTAAGGCATGTACTGCCTTCGCTCGCTTGGAAACCGGGATCGTGGGTTCGAATCCCACTCAGGACATGGATGTTTAGTTCGTGTGTGTGCGTTTTTCTGTGTTTGTGTACAGGTAGAGGCCTTGCGACGAACTGATCACCCACCCAAAGGGTCCTACCGAATGTGTAAGATCTAGAAAAACCGAAGTGAACGGAGAAGTTCATGGAGGCAGGCCTAGGCCCACTGGGGCTGTAGTGCCAGGGGCGAGGGGGTGAAAAAGAAACCTCAAATCTTACAACAAAACTATGTTCTATTTCACTGTTTCAGAAACCATTTACAGGTGTGTTTCTGTGATGGATAGGTGAGAAAGGAATTCCATTTTCATATGAGTTTCTGAAACGATCCCAGAATAAATCACACAGTTCATCATGTATACGCATGTGCTCCTGAATGAGAGATCCATTGAAATTAAGGAAATTTACTTCGACACAAAAAGAAACAAAAATTAGGTAGTTATGTTTTAGAGTGACCCAAGTAAATTCAGAGATTACTTAGATTACTTAGAAATAATTACATAGTAACAAGTGACCAGGTTTTCACCCAAATGAAGGACACTGCATATTGCTTAAATAATTTAGTGAACAAACGCAAAGGAAAAACTTATTTACAGTTAGATTTGTGTAGGCCACTAGTCCCTGATCTCTGCTATGACACCAAAGGGATTCTGATTGTGGGGTGACATCTGCCACATGAATCTTCACATAAGATTCAAAATATTTAACCATGCCATCAGAATGGATGTCGACATTGGATTCTTAGCCTTGGCACTAGGTGGAGGTTAGTAATCTTTCCCAGGCCCTCCTACATTTGTGACTTCAGTATCTCTCCTGCTGTTAAATCTTTTCCACTTGACACCTACAAGTATCTTTGCCACTATGGGCACGAAAGTGTAACGTCAAATGTTTGCTCTGCATAAATGCCTTCCCTCATACCTCACTTTTTAAAGGTTTTTTGACAATGCGTACACAAGTGTGTATTTCCGGATGGCATTTACTTGAAAACTCTCAGCTGCATACTTCCCAAGTAAAGTGTTTCTCCTCTTCATGTATAAATACACGTAAGTTTAATGCACCTCTTGCCAAGAACACTCAGCTACACATTTCACATTTAAGAGGCTTCTTCCCAGCATGAGTGTACATGTGATGCTCTAGGTGTACCAACTGCTGGAATCTTTTCCCACAGTTTTTACATTTGACTGGTTTCCCCCAAAATAAATAAGAATGTTTTTCTTATGGATTGAATGCAATGTAAATCTTTTATTGCAGTCATCACAATTAAAAGGCTTTGTACTTGTGCTTCAATGAACATGTCTCCTAATGTATGAAGCCAATTGATACCTTTTACTACATACTAAGTCACAACTGAAAGGCTTCAGTTTCTAATGTGTCCATATGTGGGCTTTATATGTTCTTCTGAGAATATTTTTGGAGACATGTCACAACTGACAGCATTTCCTTCTTTGTGTCTTGGAATATATCTCACTTTGTGAGAACTCATGAATCCTCTTGCTTTCCTTCCAGAGGTCCTTGATACAAAGTATCATTTTCACATTTTCTTTTGACTAGTGCTGAAACAATGTTCACTGCAAACAAAAATAAATACAAAAGCTTTAGCTGAGAATCTGGTGTCCTTGACTGGCACATCTTGCTTTACATAAAATAATCCATGAGTTATTGACACCTGACCTGAGAACTGGGACTTAAACTCTGTAGTCTGGTGAATGTGAACGTAAGATTTTCAATAGTAATTGCATTTCTTTAAGACATATTAATAATTTTTGCCATATAAACCTTTCCATTACTGGACTGGTACATGAATAGATATCAAATTTTCTGTATTCATTATATTTTTTTTTGTAAGATATGTTACTTTTGCCATATAAACCTTTCCATTACTGGACTGGTATATGAACAAATACCAGATTTTCAGTATTCATTACATTTTTTTTTAAGATATGTTACTTTTGCCATATAAACCTTTCCATTACTGAACTGGAATATGAATAGATACCAGATTTTCAGTATTAATTATATTTCTTTAAGATATGTTATTATTTCCACCATATTATTCTGCCCAGTACTGAACTGATGAAGATGAATATATCAGATTTTCTTATATCATTAAATTCAGTATTAATCTTGTTGACAAGAGTGTATTTCACATTCTCGAATTCCATCATTCTAATGAAAATAATAATAAATGGGAACATGAGTATTGTTGCTTACAATACATGATTTATGATACTTAAATGTAACCAAAAAACTGTGTTCTGTATGGCTTTCAAGTGTAAGTTATGAGGAAATTATGGGGTTTAATATATAGTAGTATAGTATAGTATAGTATTTATTGCATTCAAGCAAATCCAATTACAGGCCAACACCACTGGACATAGAACAAGCCAAATATCTTCAACAAATGCTCCAACAAT